GGAGTGAGCTTAACAAGGGAGAGACTTCCAAACCTTCAAACATGACAATTTCCATTTTCAAGAGGGAGAAGAGCCAATTATAAATGCCCAGAACGTTCAGCAGATGATCTAAATAGATTGAAATCTAAATCGTGACTGAGAAGAAATCGAAATCTAGAACGGAATCAATAGGAAGCTTTCTCCATTAACCTTGCAAAAATTCCCCTACTCTTCCAATCTTTTCTGTTTCTTCTTCATTTAGAACCCATTTTCTTTCAGTTTCCCACAAGTCTGATTGAGCTTTCATCATCCTCATTAATATATACGAAAGCTTTCACTCTCAATCTGGTAATCCTTTTTTTTCTAGGAAATCATGAGATTCTCTTCCAAAATTGAATCATGATATTCAAATTCCGTACAGACTGCGTATCAAAACTGAATGCACCCATCAATTGAAATCCATCAAATGATCTCCTTAAGATACAACTTATTACACGGTTAAAGAGCGAAATTTTCACTGTTGATTTGTCGCTTTCATGTATCAAAATTAATACAAACTACGTATTGATCAAGTTTCTCAACATGATGACATGAAATCCTAGTCTCTAACAATTTCTTTTTAGACGTAAGAAATTTGCAGAGCTGTTGTTATTTCAACAGTGTATCGACAATACGTCTCGATGCGTTAGTCTTCTGCAAAGGCCCAGAGCCCTTTCTATCATTCTACTATTTTCTAATTTTCTTTGATTTCAATTATTACAAGATTTTAGCTGATGGACGCACAGAATTTTCAAAAACCTGTGGGAGAGGGGAGGGAAGAATAGAGGGGGGGAAGCTAATTTCAGAATAATGTTGCGCTTGCAAGTACAGTACCGTCGCTGTCGCCGTTAAAGAAGACGTATTAAACGCGAAGTCGCGTCGGAAGCGCCGCTTCGTCATAACTCTGTTCAAAGTAAGCCATTTGAAAAATGAATTAGATATATGGAGTCAGCACTTCCTAATCCATGCAGTGGTCGTTTTTGATTTTTGAAAATATGGAAAAAATTTCTTTATCATGGCGTAGTGAAGGTTGGCGTGATCGATTTATATCATTCAAGATTATTTTTCTGATTGACTGTGGTGAACACGTGGTTTTGATGATCACAGTGTGGATATCATCTAGGAATGAAGAGTTCGGATAGTCAATATCTGTTTGCAACATGACGCAAAATTATGGAGGACTACTTGATAAAAATCTTTAAAAAAGAAGTTTGAACCAGCCTACTCTCCTTTACTTCAATGAAAATGTAATCTAGGGACAATAAAAATAAAATGTGCCAAGTACTTCTTCTGAGGTTTTAAGAGGTTATAAAAGCAAAGTTGGTCGGTTTGATTCTCTTGTAATCAGTTCAGTGCTATGCTCAAAAAAAGTTCGCGCAATAAAGGGGACGCTACTCGAGTTTCCGCCGCTCCTTTTAAATGTTTTATATGTTCTAACTTCTGAAATTAAACATTGAGCCATTGCGCATCACGTGTACCATCCATACTGTGGGAATAGTAATACTTTCTCCATTAGAGGAATGCTCCAAAAAGCT